AGTCAATCAAATAACAAAGAAATCCTTCAAAACCAGATCAAAATCCTCCATCGAAATTATATTTGGACAACACAGAGCTACAAAATAATTAATTTAGCATTAGCAGAATATTGCTGTCTGCTTTTTGTAAATGCTTTTCAAAATGCTTCTGAGCAAGTCAAGCATTCTTCTCCTACTTCCAGTTATTCAGTTCTCTATATAGTTTCAGAAATGCCACTTTCCAAAGTATAATATGTGCCGCTCAAATAGGAAAGTCCATGAGTCTAAAAAGTTACATTCTAAAAAGTACTGGAATACACTTCAAGACTGCAGTGGGACTGCAGTGATTTCTATATGGAGTCAGAACACAATTTTTTAGACTCCTTCCTCCCTTCCTACAGAAGGAGGGCAGGGGACAGGACAAAAAGACAAAGTGAAAGAGCTGGACACTATCAGAGCTTAAGGAACTTAAAACTGATGAACTGCAATTGCTTTACAGAGAAATCAACTACATAGCTTAATCAGTTATTCTTGCTCTTGCACCTTATGAGCTGCACCTTATGAGATCTTACGAGGCTCTGAGGAGCATCAACTACTTTCTTTTTCTTCAGAAATGCGTGCCTGGAAAGGATTACTGGACACTGAACTGATTCTCCACAATCTCAGGCAATTAAGATATACATACTAAGTCCAGAATTTTCTGCCAGAACATTAACTCTGGGTCCACCCGAGTTCCACACATCTACAAGTTACATAAAATACTCCAGCACCATTTAAAAAAATATATAGTTAAAAATCAAACCCCACATAAATATGCTCCTGGCACAAGTATCTTAGCAATACCATGGGTATTTCCAATGTCCTTGTTCCCCACAACAGCAGGGAATTTGTTAATAAAAGCGTCCTGATGTGTGTAGAAATCAGAGACAGATGGGCTGACCACCTCACCTCAAACTGCCAGCTGGTTTTCCCGTGTATTTGCCAATACTTTACTAATCTTCCACATCACTGTGAAATTAAAATTGAGGATTTGGGATACCATGAGTACAGGGAATATGTTCTCCCTGGAAGTCTAAGCATTTCTGTTTTGCCAACTCACTTCTCTGTACTTCTTGAAGAGACGGTTTATTTTCTGTCCTGCTAAACATTGCATTTACTGGACCTGAATTACTTTTGTTGCACTTGAACTGCCCACCACTCTTAAGGTGAAACCACAGACCCTACACAACCAGCAGGACTAAGAGATGCAGAACAGAAGACAGGTTCTCTTGGTAATTTGTGAGTGCTTCATAGATGCAACAACCTAGCACACCAATGAACATACCCTGCTAAACTCAGATCTGCAGTTTCACTTTCAGTAACCAGGGTAGCTCAACCTCACATTTTAACCTCCATTTAAATTCACGTAAGCAACTCCCAAATAAATCTACATTCATATTTTGACCTCCTGTGCACTTGCTGGATGAAAAGCACTGTAAAAAATAATTTCACGTGTACATCTACAAATGGTGTTCCATAATATTCTTGTGAAATAGATAAGATGGTGATTGTCAAAATGGCTAAAAAGTCAAGAAAAGTGAAGGGTTAAGAGTAAATTAGCAAAGATGCTCAGAACCAAATAGTTCCAGTTTTCAACTCATATATTTTTATAATAGATGGGGTACAAATTTCAAACGTACTTTCATGAATTAGAAAACTAGCTGCCATTATAGATAAAGGATCTTTTATAAATATTATGGCAAACCTCAACTGTTGGGAGAAAAGAAAAAAAAAAAAATACTGCACTTTTCCCAGCCTCACTGGTAATATTTGACCCCTTCTAAAGTTCAATATATTTTACTTCTTCAGTTTATTAGTTATTGCTAACTAGTATACATCATTTTGATAAGGCCACACTGCACAATAAAGTAAAAAAAATATGTAGCTGCCCCAAAAGGCCAAGCATTATATAAATTAAGAAATTGTAATTATTTTCCTGATTTTTTCATGAAATTAGGATTGCTAAAAGCATTCTATGTACTGTCATAATTACCAGTAATAATATACAAACTAATGCATTACTGCAATTTTCAGTCCATTACTTGTAGATTTGTCATTTGTTATTTCTCTCTCACAAAAAGAAGTTAAGCATTTTTATACTTAAAGCAAGAATTTATCAACACAAACATATCAATTACTGAATCTCCTGTAAGCCAAAGGTAAAGATTGGTATTTCTTTTAAGCGAGGTCTCAAATATATCTGGTGACCTTCATCATTCATAGTGACTACGACACATGACACTAGCTGGAAGAGAAATTTCGTATTTTACCGACTAATTTAATAAAGCCTACAATGCTGTGTCTACAAAATATACAAATAAGCAAACAAAAGCTCCTAATACTCCTCGAAATCCAAACAATTCTTATTTCTTACCGAGCTGTCTAAAAGCCATGCAAATTGCAATACACCTTTTGCTACTCTACCTTTCACTTCCCCTTTGGGGAACGAACCTGTTGTTCGGTTCACGTAAGGTGGTGAGTAAACACAGCATGCATTCCTAACTACATGCGTTACTCAGATAATAAAGAGTGTGCCAGACACCAGTAGCGACACAGGGTCTTATCCCACCTGTCTGACATACATGGGAACCTCAACACTGCTCCTATTGCAGCCAATACAACTGAATGGGCTTAAGAGAAGGTGTCAGCCTTAGTACTGCAAAAGGACTGCCAAGCTTTCTTTGAACAATAAGCAAGAGAACATGGGAAAGAAACAGGCTCATACTCAAGCCTTGTCTCATTAAAAACAAACAAACAAACAAACAAAAAAATCCCCAAACCCACAAACACACAGTGCAGTATTTTCAGACTGCTGTCAACTGGCATACAAAGAAGCCTTTTAAATACATTAGAACAACCCATATTTTTTCTTCATTATAGTCACTGACCCTGTAGTTGCTAGCTTTTAGTATATTAGAAACCCCAAAACTTCCAGAAGTGCACAAATTTGCTTATGACAATCTAGACACTGACATAGCAGAAAAAAACAGAAGTTGTAAAGCCCTAGTTTAGCAGACCTGATCTAAACAACTACACAAGTAAAATCACTAGGGTGATGAAAAACTTGTTTGGTAATTTAGTTCTAAGGCATAAGAGCTACTCACATATTAACGGATCATAGCCAACAAGAGGCACAATCCCTTGCTGTAAAGGCAAACCAGTTAATAACTCTGAAAGTTTAAAAGACATTTAAAAAAACCCAAAACTTTTTAATGCACAGGAGCTTAAACTCAAACTTCCATAAAAAGGTTTAGCTCTGCTGATTGAAAGAGAAATGCGCATTAAATACTTTTGCATATATAAGGCCAAAGACACAGATGTAGGATTGTTTCTGCTAGTAACAATGAGGGCTCCAAAGCCAGAATGCTACTAATTCTTCCAGGATTCAAAGGCTCTTCCAGGTATAAAGACTACTGCTTTCCAAGTACTTCAGTGTCACAGATACAAGGTACTTGAAAGAATTTTTACCATCAGATCATTTCGATGACAGTTTTTTTACAAGAAATAAAGGACAAAAAACTAGAAATCCAAGCATTCCTCTTCATTAAACCTTACTGAAGTTCTGAGTTCTGGACCAAGTTAAGACTAAGTTTGATCTCTAACAATAAAATTGTACGTATGGATGCACACAGATGTCTCAGTGCTCTGCCTTTCATTTCATTTTATTTTATTTTCTGACAAACTATGCTTTATTCAAGCCTCTTTAGCTGATAATTAGCTATTGTCCTCTTTAAGTATGGCTAAATGAGAAAGAAGGGAGATAAGGACAGGCAGGTTCCAAGTGAAACCGATAAACCAATAATAATAATAATAAACTGAAATAGAAAACTGATCTCAGTGAAGAGATCACAGAGGAAGGGGGAGCTGGGAAGCGGAATCTCTCTCCAGTGAGCCAGAGAAAGGGCCTTCCCTTTTTTCTTAACACCTGGAAAACAGATGATGACAATATTTCCCACAGCATTCTCCTCGACAAACTTGCTCCTCATGGCTTGGATGGGCGTACTCTTTGCTGAGTAAAAAACTGGCCAGATGGCCAGGCCCAAAGAGTTGTGGTGAATAGAGTTGAATCCAGTTGGCAGCTGGTCACAAGTGGAGTTACCTAGGGCTCAGTATTGAGGCCAGTTCTGTTTAGTGTCTTCATCAATGATCTGGATGAGGGGATCGAGTTGCACCCTCAGTAAATTTGCAGACAACAGCAAGTTGGGTGGGAATGTTTGTCTGCTTGAGGGTAGGAAGGCCCTACAGAGGGATCTGGACAGGCTGGGTCGATGGGCCGAGGCCAAGTGCATGAGGTTCAGCAAGGCTCAGTGCTGGGTCCTGCACTTCGGTCAACAACCCCATGCAACGCTACAGGCTTGGGGAAGAGTGGCTGGAAAGCTGGCCGGTGGAAAAGGACCTGGGGGTGTTGTTCGACAGGAAAAATTTCTTCAGAGAAAGGGTTGTCAAGCATTGAAACAGGCTACCCAGGGAAGTGGTTGAGACCCATCCCTGGAGGTATTTAAAAGACGTGTCCCTCAAAATAACCCATCACATGCGCATGCAGCACAGCTGAATTATTTTCAGTGTATTTAAGTATTTTTAGTATTTTCTGTGTATTTAAGTGTATAGTATTATGTTACTGGAAAAAAGAACAGTATTCTGAACATAAACTTTTATTCATTTTTCCCTGACACTATCTTTTAACTGTCTTTAAAGAACCAAACCAGAAGTTATCATGAAAAAAAATACTGAAAAGTTATATTTAAAATAATTTCAAACATGACTTCATAAAAATATATATGAAATAATTAATTTTAATTTGGTACATTATGTTACACTTAATGGGTCAGTCAGTATTATCCACATAAACAACAGAAAGTTGTAGGAGAAGCTGAGTGTGTCTTCATAATATAAAAGCAACACAGAGCAAAGAGGAAGATAACCCAGGTGATCTACTGTGCAAGAAAGAAAGCCTTTGCAGAAACAAAGAAACAGAAGTCTACCTGTTGGAGGTCCAATGTAATGGTCACATAATGATATTCAATTCCATTCTGGATACTAGGGCTTTGCCACCAAGTGTTCTTGCCATCAATTGCATTTGTTATCGGATGTCGTTCTGTTAGAACAGCAGAAATACATAAATATATTTCAAAATCATTAGATTTAAATGTTTTTAGATCTAAAATCTAGATTTTAATACAATTACGGAATTAATGAGGCAGAACTTTAAAATAAAAACCAGGCAATTAATTTTTCTTTTACTCTTGGGACACAGTCATGCTTATTATTACTGAAATACTCATCTAATGTTAGTTGTTTAATTTTGGTTAGGATCACAAGAAGCTGATTCAGGACAACTAAATGCACTTGGAGGCTCTCCTGATTCTACAGAAAATGTAGGCATCTAAATCAAGTGAATACTTCCTGCAGTCTTCCAAAGTTTCAAGTGCTGTAAAGTCATTAAATGTTGCAACAGAAACAACAAGTCAGGAACCTAAGATATTGCGTGCAAGGAAAGCAGAGATTAAAGTAATACTGGTACTTGCATTTCTAAGACATTTCTAGGCACACATGGAAACAATTCAGAAATCATTACAGAGGAAATGATTCAGAAATCATTACAGAATATATTTTTCAACTGGAAAATTGTCTGACTCACATACATGCATATAAAGAAGGTTTGCTTGGTTATAATCCATATCAAAGTCCAAGATGCATTACTTTTCACATCTACATTGAATCTGCTGCAGTGTCCCAAATGAATCCCAAATAATAGGGATAAGAATTTATTTACAGAATTTAATTCTTCCTAGATTTAAAGATATTCTAAATTATTGAAGTTTGCTTACACAGTATTTTAATGTTATTTAGACTAAGAAAAATCACACTCAACATTTCCAGGTCACTTTTTGTGGTCGATTCATGTTTCTCTCCTGTACAAAATGGCAAATAACATAACCTCAATTATAAAAGGTACAAAGATCTATATTTTGAAGTCCATAATTGCCTAGAGCAAGTCTGTACTTTATGCGGAAAATAACCCAAAGGAAATTCAAATACAGTAGGTTTCTTCTATGCAAGTTCTGCCTGCAAGAACATTACAAGATAGGAGAAATCCCAGCTCTCTCATTAAGGATGGCTTTCTAAACTGACAGGTTTTCTTGATATAAAACTGGAATATACTTCATTACTAGCTAGTCCTAGAATTGCAAATAATTAATTCATGAACTGTTTAATTCACTTGTTATTTTAATTATTACTTAAATCAGCCAGCCAGATTGATAGTCTCTGTGTCTCCATTTTTTTGCTACATCAACCACCTGTGGAGGACAGGAGTCCTAACTCATTAGGGAAAGCCAGAATGTCTGAACATATTTAAAGATACAATTAAAGTGCTTTGTGGGAGTGAGGGAAGGCATAAACCCTCAAATTGAAAATGCCAAAAATTTCATGTAAATATCAGATTATTCAGTGGCACTACTGGGCACCAACATTTGCAAGTTAGAATACTGGTGCTATAAGTGATGTTATTAGTAGCTTTATCTTTATATTCAAGAGCAAAGCAAAACACACCCATGCTTTGTATGTTGTCGGTTCCCACAGCCCTGATCATTTTCACAAACCTTGGCTTTAAATGAGTGCTAGCAAAAATCTTCTGTAAATCAAACTCAGAGCTCCTCAGTGATTGTGACAGAAGCTGTCTAATTGGAAATTTTGATGTTAAGTCTCTTCAGGTGAAACTGATATAAAGTTAAATCCTGAGAAGGAGGGTTGGGAGATTAATCAACAATTAACTGTAATCACCATTATGAAAGTTTAATCATAATTAATTTGAAAACACTGATTAATTGCTGGCATGTTTTGCCTATTTAAAAGGGAAGGGAAAATAATATAATATTTGCAAAAAGGACTGGATTGCAATTGCAGTTCAAGGACCAATCTCCCTGACGGATGGCAAGGGGGAGAACTTACAGAGTGAGCCCATCAAACTGTGCTCTTTAATTTGGGCTCACATGTGATTAACCAGGGAATCTGTGTTCATTTCCTACTACAGTAATTAAGGGGAGGCACTCCAGACTCACACATTCCAAGGGGATCATTTAAAGTCTGGTTACATTAGAAGGTTCTCCTATTAATGAGCCATCTCTGTTTAAATAAGGCATTTCCTTCTGCCAAATGAACATTTAAAAACCTTAAAATGAGATGTGGGTGGCAACAAAAGACCAGACATCATAAAGCTGGACAGATTACAAGTTTTTAAGAGGGTAGGAGTGAGGGGAAACACAAATATAAATCATTCAGATGGGGTTTACATATATATGCATATGCATGTCTGTGTATATACACATACATTAGTGTACACTATCTGATACCATAGGCAGGACATGGGAACAAAGCAATTCAACTCTGGTTTAGGTTTGGTTTCTGACTTAAACAAACTTGATATAGGAAAAGACTTGTATGATGTGCATGCGTCTCTAAATAACCATCTATAAAGAAGGGAAAGAATCTATTGCACTGTGTTTGCCAGTCAGAGTGGTTCCAAAGACCCCTGAAATCTCCGAGTGAGACACGCTACTACAATGTAACATATCATTTAAATGCTTATATTGCTACAAAATCATGTGACCTTTCCTCAGAAGGCAGCATTTGCTACAATTAAAAAACACATCAAAACTTGGAAACTATCTTGTGAAAAAAAACCCAGGTTGGAACTGTGTTCAGGCATATGAGGTAGTCTATACTGGGGCAATTATAATTAGCTTCACAAATACAAGATGGGGAGCAAATGGATAGGTAGCCATTTAGCAGGAGAGCATCTGGGGATTATAAAGACAACTAGCTACATATCTCTCAGTGGTGTCACACCATTAAAAATGGGAAACATCTAAGTAAAACATGTAAACAGGAATATACTGTGTTCATTCTGAAGCAAGCCTGCATCTCTATGCACTGTTGGTAAGACAGGTGAATTTTAATAAAGACTAAAACCTCTAGAGAGAATCTAGAGAACTGCAATTTGCACAGTCAGAGTTCTAGAAAATATGACCTATGAGAAGAATGAAAGAAAAGAGATAGCTTAGTGCAGAAACTAGATATAGCAGCAATACTATCAACCCTCAACTAAGTAAAAAACCTTTGTAAAGAAAAAGGGAATAATCCATTGTATTGACTGAAGTTAGGAAAAAGGTAACATGAATTTCTGCAAGGAAGATGCAGATTAGCTATTAGGAAGAGGCTTTGTAATGAGTAAACTAAGTCTAAGAAGGGTGGCCCTGGAAGGAAGTTTCTAAGGAGAAGTTAAACAAGCTTCTGTCTGGACAGCTACAGACATAGATAGCTCATCCTGTCTAGAACTAGCAGATAGATTAAATGTTGTCTTTTTTTTTCCCCCTGGATTTTTAAGTGCATGCTTAAATATGCTTTGTCATGAGGTGTAAATGTATCTGAGCTAGGTTTTAGAGGGAAACAATTGGAAAAAAAAGGAGAAATTGTCTCTATGCTTCTGTGGCTGTGCTTGTTCCAACATTTTACCTATTCCATTAAAAGCTGTCTTAAGTGTCTCTACACCCACTACCATCTACAGTGCCAATACACCCACAAAAATCTAACAACATTAATGCTATTCATGTCTTTCACAGCAAGGTCACATGAAATTAAACTTGTATGACTTGACTAAGAAATTTTCTTAGTTCTGATCATCCCAACTATTAGAAACACGCATCTCTGAAGCAGACAATAACAAATTTATACTTGAAAACTGATTTTGCTTCCGGGTAGTCTTAAAAAACCCAAAGTTAGCAAAGATCAATTTTAATATGAAAAACTAAGCAATTAAACCAAGCAATGCTCTATTATCTTATCTTCTTTTTGCTGGCTCAGTGAAACTGAATTAACATTAAACAAAGAAGAAAAATATCCCAGAACACAATAATATAAAACCAGAGTTGGCTCTAAAGTGAAATTTCAAATGTTGCTTAGGTTGGCCAAAATGCTCAAATTCATGCTCAATGTAGGTATGCAGGTAGAAGTCATCTGGTTTTCATTCATGGTCAGTACATGTCAAGAAAATTCAACAACAGCTGTAGATACTTAATTTTTCTAAATCTGAATTTAGATGCTCCACTTTAAGTATCTGAAATAGAAATTTCAGTTTGAGGAGTATACATAACAGATACAAATTTTGAAATCCAATGGAAGAGATGAATAACCTAATTTAAAAAGAGACAGACATTTCATAGTAATTGGACCAGTGACCTACAGTTTTGTTTGCCGAGTATGTACAACCATTGGAAAAAATTTTTTTAAAGGAACAAAATGAAAATGGCACACATACGATGTGGAACCCTGCTCCTTTGATCACAAATACGGCACTGAGGGTTCCTTGCAGGCTGTCCAGGTACATGTTCAACGAGTTTGCAGTACATTTCCCGACCCTTTTCTCCACATGTAGCATTGGTTGTGATGAGAGCATTAGTAGCCAGGTTCAGCACTGCGGGAAACAACCCTGCAAACAAAATAAAATAAAATCATAAACAAAAGCAACAAAGGCAAATTTAGCAGCACAATCATAAATGAACAGAACACCTTTTATGACATTTAAGTAAAAGGCTTAGTTTTCAACAACTATGGAAGTAAGGAAGCACAGAAAATCACCCACAACTTTGGTTTTGAATCCAGAGTTTAGACATCAGAATAAAGCCATTATAGTGATGGTTTCCTCCTCATTCCCTTCTAAAATTCAAATTAGTACCCTCTGGTTATATCTTGAACAACAGCAGGACACCAAAGGAGAAAGTAGAGTATGAAAACATACAAAGCATCACAAAATTATTTTTTTTCATAACCAAACCTTGTGTTGCTACCCAATGGGACATTGAAACATTGTATGGAAATTACCTATGAAAACTCTTTATTATTCTTCTTTTCTGCTTACGTCTCCATGGGAAAGCTTTTCCTTCACAGACTGCATCACTTGTATTACACTATATTACTATTCTGCTTAGGACCTCATAGTCACCCTTGTCATCAGAGCAGCAAAGCAATTCTTGCAGTAACATGAATAGCATCTGTCATGTGTGGTTCCCCTTTCCTCAAGAAGAGGATAATATATACAACATTATATCTTTTATGGCAGTACTGTTGTTATTTTTTTCAGGTGCACATGCTGAGTGATGTATTATAATTCTCATTCAGCACAGCACTTAAGTAAATGTCTGAGTGCTCTGCTGAACTGAGTTCTATGTAGCAGTAAGCTATAAAGATTATAAACGATATGAAGAACAATCATTAGGGTGGCTTACTCTCTTTCCTACTAAATACTGATCAAAACCTTCGAGCTGGGATAAAATTGATCCATGGAGAGAAAGTGATATGATATTTTGAATGTATATATTAGCCCCTCACATTAAATCAATCATTTTTGCATCCCCAAAAGCGTAATTTGCCATGGCTGCAGGTCAAACAAAAAAAAAAAAAACCCAACAAAAAAGATACGAGGCATGGATTAGAATCATCTTCAGATTTGATGACAATTTCCACTGGCCCCAAACCCACGCTTCTGCAATTCATTCAGCTTCTAACCCTTTTGTATTATTATAAACTTAAAATAAGGCTTTAATCAAAACTGAATCCACAATTATTGTACACTGATAAAGCTCCCTTTATAAGGGCTTTCCTCTTCCTCCTCTGCAGATGGACAACACTATTCAACTGACTCCTTTCAGTTCTTTAACTCCAGTCTCCTGCTTGTCTCTGAAATTAACCTGTACGCCATTTAATTACCAAGCTTGGGTGGTCATGCTACAGCTGTCCTCTGACATTGTTAGTGACTCACACTCACTTTAAAAACATGTTAAACATACTGTTTGAGCAAGGCAACCCATTAGTTACTAACCTGTCCAATTTGTATAGTTAATCAATAGTTGAGATTTTATTGATTGTGTAGCTTGCTTCTTCTGTATACATAACAGCCCATTTTCATCACATTTTAAAATCTATACAGTTGTTCTTGTACTTTTATTCAATGCATTCAGTGATATTTGCTGCCTTCTACAATGGTGACACATGGTAATATCTGCGTAAGCATTAGCTGAGTAGATGAATTAACAGCTGTGACTTACAGCCTCATTATTCTCTTGCTAGGCTGTACAAAGTTAATAGTGTAAAAGCCAGTAATCATTTAGTCTTAACTGAGTCTGGCATTTGGTTTAAAGTTCAGTATTTTATTCCCTCAAAAGTGAACCTCATAAAAAGGACAGAATGATCCTACATGCAAGGAATTGCAGTAGATGGCATCAGGAGAATAAATCCTTCAAAAAACAGTGGAACTGCTGAAAAAGAGCAGGCAAAACCCTTCCAAATTCACACAGCTATAAAAATATTACATTACATCTCTACACACAGATCATACCATTGTTCTAAGTTTTAACTCAAATTTTAAATATAAGAGACATAAGTAAATGATGAGTACTTAAGGAACTGATCAATTAGAACATAATTTCACTCTCAGGTAACCTCTTTTATGTACAGCGTAGCTCAGGGCAAAGCTACTACACGGCCTTGCCCATGATCAGTACAAACACAGGAACCAAAAACAGTATTGGGTGCTTCATGGAAGAGACGATGTCAAGATCCAGTGCCTCAGAGAGAAATGCATCACACTCCATTCCCTGCAGGTTCACAGGAGGGGATCTGATAGGCAGAGAGGAAGAGATGCACAAAGTGCCTACACTGCACCAAGCACTTCGCGTTCAGTATTGATTAATTCCCCAGCCCTGGAATTTTAACAAGTTAAAAACTGCAATTAACAACTACATATTTGAATTTTTTTTTTTAATAATCTTTGTTTACAAGGAGCAGGGAGTTGGACTCAATGATCTTTATGGGTCCCTCCCAATTCAAGATATTCTATGATTCTGTGATACTGTTTTAGCTCAAAATAAGGCATTGCTTTTACAGAACATTTGATGTGCAATCCTGATGGAATGGAGGAAGCTATATTATTCATAATGCTTTCTAGCAATTAATACATATAATACTTTCACAACATAGGCATGAGATTCTAGCAATACAGAAGATGAAAGCATTGTCTTGAATCTTTTATTTAGGCTCTTTGAACACGAAATAAAGATGTGAATGTTCATGATGCTAGTATATAATGTTTACCCTTTCTAAGATTTCCATCTATCCAACCATAAATCCCTAGGAAAAAGGCAAGAGCTCAAGACACTACAGTTCATTTTTTTTGAGAATTTTGCCTTACTTTTCATGATGATAATCACACAGAAGAAATATTTTAAAATTGATGTACTAGTGTTGTGCACCTTAAAATTCAATTTCTCACTAAATTATAAAGTTTATTTAGTTATCAATCCCATCTTGAATTCTATGGGCATCCTGATATGAAATATTTCCAAAAACATGATCTCCTAGAATTACAGACAGCTCTCCTTTCTTTATTGCCAAATACCTTTAGTAATCATTTGCTCCAGTGCAAAGACTGGGTAAAATACCTCTGAGTCAGAAACACATTATCTCTATTTTGTGTAGCTCAAGTGCAAGCAGAGAAATTCTACTCCCTTCAACTGCCAGCTACATCAATCTTTTCCTTCCTTTGTGTCACTGACAAAAAACAGATTAGCATTCATTTCTACCTGTAAAAAATACCCAAATTCTAGCAATTGCATTGAGGAAATAGGTAGAAAAGATTGGCTTGTAATTAGGCGGTGGTTTTAGCAGCTTGGATTCAATTTCTGGTTTTCAAAAGACTTCTGTTGCATGAAGAGAAAACCACAGTCCCAGATTGTCACCTATGAAATGGGTACGGTCATCTTTCTGCTTTCCACTTTGGTTTTTAAGCATGGAACATATTCCATGGAGCTTTTAGAGCATGGAAGCCTGATAGACAGTTTGTTTAGTATTGACAGGTGATTAAACTATGAAAGGAAAATAGCACAGAAATTAATCAAATTCTTTAAAATGGTGTACCATGCAAGGGTAATGAAGAAAGCTGCTCAACTCTCTACAGAATTAGTGATGATAAGTTCATTGTGAACAGAAACAGTTTTGGAAAAAAAAATGGTAAAAATGAAAAGCAGCACATCAGCAGGTATAGCTGATTTTTGCCTACAAACTCCTATGTACTCAAGTTTTACACTGCCACTGTTCTCGTTAAGTAGGGTGTGGTACCAAAGTGCTAACCACATTACAGTTTTTTAAATGGTTCCTGGATCAAAGCAGATCTGAAATCTATCTTAAAGACAAAAATAGTGGATGCTCGGGATCAGTGTTTTTTTACAGAGGCCTCACAAGTCATCTCTTATCAATACTAAAGTTCTTTGTAGAGGTTGGCAAGCACATAGGTACGAGTGATTCACCGAGTTCAACAAATTTTGATTAACAAACAGATTTTGACAAGGTTCTGCAAATGCCATTAAAGCAACTAAGCTATCATGACATGTGAAGGAATGACCTCATGAGATAACAACAAAAAAAGGAAAATGGGGATTAACACTGGAAAACCACAGCAATCTTTGTTGAACCCTGTTTTGTTCAACAGTTACACAAGCAACTTAGAACAGAGGATAGAAAGTAAGGTAACAGTTTATTGATCATAGAAATTATTCAGTATAACCAAAGTAAGGATAGAACACCAAGAGTGGTAGAAAAATTTCACAGTATGGTATGTCTAGGCAATAAAACGGCAGATGAAATCGAGGAATGGAAATTAATACACAGGGGAGAAATATGATAGGCTCTGCACTAGCTATTATCACCCCGAAAGAGTTGTTATGGATTTTTCAATGAAAATATTAGCTTCAAGGAATAGAAACAAAATGTCATTACATTATCGCATAAATCCATCCGTAATGACAACTCAAATGATATTCCCTATCTCTTAACTCCAAAAGGACATGGCAGAACTAAAAAAGAAAAAGTGTGACAAGATCACAGCTGTGGATCAAATTCTGAACGTGGGCATTAATAGGCTATGAGACTTCTACTGGGAGAAGAACTGATTGGGAGATGTATAAAATGACATAACTGTATATAAAATCAGAAATGGGTTTAGCAAGTGAACATTGGAAGTGAACATGGTACGTTTAGTTACCCTTCTACCACAAATTGGGGGTGCTGAGTCAACTTATCATACAGAAGCTTTCTTCACTGATTAGGATTTTTTGTCTGTTTATAAATGGAACTGCTTTTCAGTATGATAGAAATTAAACTCTAGAATACATTAATAAATTCTATAATAAAATGGTTTTATTCCAAAAGCGGGAATGGATTAAAAACCAATTAGATTAATACACAGAACAAGGGTTCATCTGGGGCTGTTAAACATGAAGAGCTTGGTGTTTAACTGTCAGTTCAGAATATCCCTAAATCACTGGCTGTTGCAGGGTTTTATCCAGGGAGGCATCACTGTACTCCTTCTCTTCTTTCCCATTTTTCCTCAATATTGCCTCTAATACATATCTGTAGTTGTTTCTTACTAAGGCTGGT